TCTTTCTTTCTCATTTTTTCCTTCCTTCCTCTCCGTCTCTGTCTCCATCCTTTTCTTTCTTTGAGACAGTGCAAGTGGGGGGGAGAGAGAGAGCGAGCGAGAGAGAGAATCCCAAGCAGGCTCTGCACTCAGGGCTTAAACCCCCAAAGCTGTGAGGTCATGACCTGAGCTGAAACCAAGAGTTGACCGCTTAACTGATTGAGCCATCCAGGTGCCCCATGTCTTCCTGTCCTACCTTCTGAAAGATTTCCTTGCTTTTATCTACCAACTCTTTCATTGTATTTGCTTATTTTTGGTAAGAACATTTTTATCAGCAAAGGCTCATCCTTATTCTCTGATTATGTCTTTTTAAAAAATGTTTTGAGAGAGAACATGTGGGCACACATGTGAATGGGGGAGGGGAAGAAAGGGAGACAGAGGATCCAAAGCAGGTTCTGCACTGACAGCAGAGAGCCCGATGCTCAACTGAGACACATGGGTGCCTCTGATTATGCCTTTCTTATACCAATGTATTCTTGCATCTTGGACTGTGTCTTCTGTTTGAGGGTTTTACCTCTTTATTTTCTTGCATTGTGTGTTTCCTCAGAGTTCCTTTTCATTGGTATGTTGGTTGGCTTGTTTTGGTCTTTCTTATCAGAGGTTTTCTGTACATCAAGTGATCTTGACTATGGTTCACATTTAAAGGTGAGGCACTGGATAAGATTTTATGCTGGTGGGTTTCTTACAGGGTCATTTTGAAGATTCTCCCTATCCCCAACCTAAGCTATAAATAAGTAGGTGTCCTGGGTGTGAGCAGGAAAAGGGGGCGAGGAGCTTCTTGATTCAATGCGGAGACTTCGCGTTTCCATGTTCTCCTACTCCTGTCCTCCACTGTGGCTGGTGTCCACATGTCTTTAGTCCACCTGCCTCAGTTTCTGTCTAACCCAGCCCTTCTCAGTGGTGGTTCTGAAGAGAATTACGGCCTGATGCTATTCCACGGAACCACATGAATTCTCTTCTCTGCATCTAGGTGTTAGCTCTGTATTATCTTTGGGACGACTGAGGAAGTGGTGAATCATTCTCAGTAGGGCTGAAGTCTCTCATGGAGCACTGGTCAGGAAAGGCTGTTTGAGAAATAGCCTCCCTTGGGGGCCAGAGGTGGGTGAGCAACCTGGCTCTGTAGCGGAAGGGGAGGGGAGCATGTGTTTGATTACTGTAGTTACCTTAGCGAGTTTCAAAACTAGACAGTGGGTCAAAATGCAATCACTGATTTTGCCTGGACGTTTATTGTATAGCTTTGGAACCTGGGCACACTGCAGGTACCACACAGACTGAAGAGTTGGGTGGGCCCTCAGGAAGCCTTCATGGAAGGCTGGTTCCAGGAATGTATTCATAGGAGGAAGGGGCAGCCGCTTCCTGGCTGTGTCACAGTGCCCTCCCATGAGGGCAGGGAAATGTGAATCAGAAACTTCCTCCCATGGAAATCCCCTTAGTTGGTGATAAGGCTGTGGCAAGAGGCGCTGGGTGTTTCTGTGCCTGCTGCTGAGGTGGCTTAAGCGCCCTCACACCAGCTGGGGTCACTGTGGCATCTGCTGCTCTCGGCAGGGTCCCAGCTTGTGAAGCCACCCACAGTGACCCCAACACTAGCTGGTTTGGGAGAACATTTGTTGGTTGGGCTCAGCAGGTCCCTTTCAGTAATTTGTGATATATCCAGGGTATCATCATGTGGTGAAATCAGAAGTTTTGGTGCTGGGGCCAAGAATGGTGCTATTTTGGAGAGCATGACTACTGTGTAGAAAGGAAGGCTGAAAATCTCCCCCCACTCCACCCCTGTGCAGGGGGTCCCCATGGCTCTTCTTATCGGCTCCTGGGTGACCCAAGGTTAGCTTGACCTGTGGCCCCCTTCTGAAGCCATGAGGCATGCTGCCCCCACACTGTGGTGGCTGCTCTGTGCTGGCCCAAGGCAGTGCCCGTGACTCTTGATGCTTTGGGGACAGCCACCAAGCCCACATCTTCACAGGGGGCCCAGCCCATCGAGTCTCATAGAAGCGCCTGTGGCTGAGCAGTCAAGTCTGAGGTTTTTAATCCTGCATATTTCTCTCCATTTTCCAAATGCCCAGCGGAGGAGCCCTCAGAAGCACCGCAGCCCCCACCACGAGGGAAGGCCCCACAGGTGCCTGGAAGGCCCTCCCACCCAGGGCCAGTGGAGGCCCCCACGGAGGCCTCTCATCCCAAGCCAACCCCTCTGCCGAGGCCAAGTACTCCCCCGCTTCCTGAGGAGCCTGGAAAACGTCTGCCCACAGGCCAGCAGCCTGTCCTACCCAAGAGACCCCTGCAGCCACTGCCCCCACCAGCATGGCCACGCTGGACGGGGCTGCCCTTCCTGCCTGGCTCCACTGGGGTCATTATGGAGACTGGAGAGGCCGGGCCTCCAGGGAGGATGGGCGTGTCAGGGCGGGGCCTGCCCCAAGGAGTGGATGGCCAGACGGGGCAGGGACCCATCCCCAGCGCCGAGGGCTTTGCAGGAGCACCAGGTAAGGGCCCTGCGGCTGGACACCTCCAAGTGGCGGGGGTGACACTAGATGGAGGGGCAGCCTGAGCCTTAGGGGGTCTGCTGCAGGGTCTTTCCGGGTGCGAGTTCCAAAATCCCCGAAGCACCACAGCTGCCAGGCAGGCAGGGTCAATGCTGGGAACACAAGGAGACACCTTTGCCCTCAGCCGTTCTCTTCCTTTGGTCCTGCTCAGCCACCCCAAGCTGCAGAGATCACAGGGCTCCCCCCACAAACATGCCTTTCCCAGGAGGATACGCATTAGGGATGTTTATACTCCTTGGGGCTGTGCATTTGCCTGTCCATCCATGCTTCCACCCCCTCCCATGCATCCATCAAACACTCATCCAGCCTCACTTTCTTCTCGGATCCCCCCAGCCAGCTTGCCCTGACGGACCTTCTCTGCTCTGTGAGAGGGGGCTAGTGAGGAAGCAGGCACAGTGGGGGTACAGCTGTGCCCGTTTCTGGGAGGGCAGCTTGGGAGGGGCGCTCTTGCTCTAGGTCTAAAGGAGAACAGTGGGAGGAGCCGGGAGAAACAGAGGGGCTCCTGTTTGATGTCCCACTCCCATTTTGTTTTTCAGGATACCCCAGCTCACCTCCTGTGGCCTCCCCAGGTATGTCTGCTGGAAGACCTTGGTGGGAGGCTGGTTCTCCTCGGTGGCCTCTGCCCCTCCCCTGCGTGTCCGGCCTCCTCCCTCTGAGCTATTAGCGTGGGTGGAGGCCCGGCCCAGCTCTTTTGTGCCCACCAGCCGAGGGACAGACCTCTGCTGACGGGACTCTCGGCCCCCGCCAAGATTTGCTCCTCAGAGAGGGTCTGAGTCATGCCTGAGACTAGGGCTTTTCCCTCACACATCTTCCCAGCCCATGGAGTTGGCGGTGAGGCTCACTGGCTGGGTCTCTGCCTGGTGTGGCTGTGCCTAGCTTCCTGTTCCCCACTCCCTGCCTGCCACGAGCCCCCGACACACACACACAGTGTCACACGGTCTCACATGTCCACTCCCAGACAGTGCTTGTCCTGCTGCTCACCGTCCCCACCCCCAAACCGACGAGGACTGGCCTGGCCCTGTGTCCCACAGTGCTTTGCCACCTTAAGGCCAAACAGCACCGTGAGGCTGCCTCTCCAGACTGGCGCAACCTGATCCCTGTGAATACTTCATGTCCTCTCTGCTCCAGGGACTCCAGCGCCTTCTCTGGTGTCTTTCTCTGCGGGGCTCACCCAGAAGCCTTTCCCCAGCGATGGGGGTGTCGTCCTCTTTAACAAAGTGCTGGTAAATGACGGGGACGTGTACAACCCCGACACTGGTGAGTTCTGAGGCGGTGCACGGTCTCCACATGCCAGCGGGCCCCCTGTCCTGTGTGCGGGGTGGGGACGCCACGCCCAAGGTGCCTAAGCAGCTGTGGGTGCCTGGGGGACCAGTTGGCCCCTGTTGCTCCTCCCCTGATTTGTGGAGTTTTAGGTGAAGAAGTTTGCAGCTGCCAGGCTGTGGGGTGGGTGGGTGAATGTGCAGTGACCTTTTCTAGTCATGAGAGCAGCATACCAGTCCTTGGCACTGTTGTTAGGCTCTGCCCACCACTGACTGCACCCTGGCCCCTCCCCGCTGTCCTCCAAGCCCCGGGGAGGTCTTCTTCCTAAGCATCTATTGTCCCCACACCCCAGGACAGGATGGGGGAGAGCCCACCCCTGCCCTGCCTCCTTCAGTGGCTTGTGGCTCATTAACAGAGCCAAAAAGGGTGACAGCACTCCTTCCGGAAGGGACCGGACCCGGTTGCGGGGTCTCCTGCTCTGGAATAGAACTGCTTTAGCTGTGGGCCTGGGTCCTGCCTGCAGCATCTGTCTTGTTGCCCAGATTATCTGTACGACAACGGAGGTCACCCTGGGTTCCTGGCTTCCTCCTTCCCGCCACACCTGTGCCTGGGCTTCTGTCCATCTTTGTCCCTGGGAACTGAAGTGAGAGCCTTCCTTCCTGAAAGGCCAGACATGGGCATCTTTTCTCCTCTATAAGGGGAAGGCGTGTCAGGGCCCCACTTCCTGGAGGGAAGCACAGCTCCAGGTGTGGCTGGGGCAGGGTAAAGCAGGACCCAGGGGCTTGTGCCGAGGGCCCAGTCACCTTTCCTGAGTAGCTCACAAAGCTGGGGAGGCCCATCTCTGATCACATCAAGTGCCAGCATGCTGCGGTGCCCACAGAAGTCCTCCCTGAGGAAATGCACAGGTGTGAGGGCAGGAGGAGGTCAGGAAGGTTACAAGGAGGCAGATGGAACAGAGTTCCTTGGCAGGCAGAGATTTTAGGCCTCACTCTCGTGTTTGTCCTGCCCGGCCGTCCTGCCATCTAGCTAAATCCCACTGTTCCTAGGACAAGGCTTAGGTTTTAGTGAGCATAAAAGTTACCTACGGAACTTGGGAAAGGAACTCGGGGTCCTCCAGGCCAACTGGAGTCAAGCTCAGGACTCTGCTGTTCTCCAGGCTGGGGTGTGGGAAGAGCCTTTGCTTTCAGAGACTTTCACTTTCTCCACAAGCTCAGGTTCCCCCTGGGGCCCTCACCCCATGCTGCCTGGGTGGTGGGGACAGCTTGTCCACCCTGACGGGTCAGGTGACGTTTGCAAGCAGAGATGGTGACTGACATTTCTTTCACATTCTGGGTGACCCCGAGTGAGGCCTCCCCACAGGCAGTCTCTAAGCGGCGTAGGAGGCCGTGCGTTCTGGTGCCTCAGGAAGACTTGTGGAGCTTTATATTACTTGTCATTAAAAGCTGGGGAAGGGAGCAGCAGGGCCTGGCAGTTTCTGACCATCTTTCAGGGCAGTCCACGAGATTCCTTCTCGGCTCCTGGGCCCTCCATTCTGTCACTTTTGGCCTGTGGTCGGGGTCCGTGCCTAGCCCTCCCCACAGCCTGTGGGAAGTGGCTGCTCCCACCAACATTTGGTGTAGGCTCCAACCCTTGTGGCTTTGGGGCATCTACAGTTGCTGCTTTGCAAATGGGTCTATCTACCAACCCATGTACCCTTCCTCATGCCATCCCCCTCCCTCCAACCACCACCTCCCCTGCTTCCCCATGCTCAGAACCTGTGGGCCACTGGCTCAGTGAATGCCTGCTTATTTTTGGCCACAAATGGATGCCACCTGTATACTGATCCCGTGCAGGAGGACTGGCTCTTCCAAGTGAGGAGGGCTGGCTGTGGCCTCTCCCTGGGTTAGTGACAAACTTTATGGGTTCTTTTTGCTCTTGCCTCCTCAGGAGGCAACTCAGGCATTTTGTGGATGTTATGCCCAGCACACAGGTTGTGAGGCTTATTCTAAGTTGGCCCTGGGGTGCTCTCAATGATGGAGGAAACTCCCAAAATGCAACCAGGATCTGGGCAGCTGCTGCTTCCCCACTAAACCTTGGGTGAGGTAGGAGCGGACCCTGCGTCTTCATACCTGCGCCATGCACATAGCACTGCTGAAGCTGGTGTGTACCCCATCGCCAGGAATGTTAAAGCAGCTGAACTCTCTTCCAGCAAGGGTGGGTGGTCCTCTCCGTGCTCACCGCATGACAGCATGGGGAAGGTTATTCTGACGGCTGCTCCGGGCGTAGGTGAGAGTTCTAGTCATCAGAGCACATCCTGGGGGTTTTGCAAGATTTGTCCTCTCCTGGATGTTCCAAGCAGAAGACAGGGGGTGTCACAGTGAGGACTGGGCCAGCTAAGGAGTCTGTCATTGGGTGGATGGAGGGCAGGTGCAAGTACGTCCCCTCAGGGCAACCTATCTTCTAGAGGTTGGGTGACCACCTCTCCCCGTTGGGTCTCCTGGGACAGTCCTGGACAAACAGAGATGGTTAGTTCCCCAAATCTGGGTTAACCGATAACCTGTCACAAAGGTCCTGTGATGGTGTGACAAGTGCCTGCCTTCATCCTCCCAGGGATCTTCACGGCTCCATACGATGGGCGCTACCTGATCACAGCCACCCTCACTCCTGAGAGGGACGCGTACGTGGAAGCTGTCCTGTCGGTCTCCAATGCCAGTGTGGCCCAGCTGCACACAGCCGGCTACAAGAGGGAATTCCTGGAATACCACCGGCCCCAGGGGGCTCTACACACTTGTGGGGGCCCAGGGGCATTCCACCTCATCGTGCACTTGAAGGCAGGAGATGGCGTCAACATCGTGGTGACTGGGGGCCGCTTGGCTCACACGGACTTTGATGAAATGTACTCCACGTTTAGTGGGGTTTTCTTATATCCTTTCCTTTCTCACCTCTAGGGTGCCTGGGGAAAGGGAAGAAGAAAGATCGTTGTGAGAACTTGGAAGCTTTAATATATGCAGTTTATTATGTATGTAACTGGAGCACTGGTCTAGTTTTCTGCAGACGCCCCAACACCTCCCCCAAGATACAGACCTTACCTGGCTGCTGAGGCCACACACCCGAGAGTTCCCAGGCAGGTGGTGAGGACACATGTGCCTGATGGGGCCACCACCTTCTGTCATTCCGACTGGACACCTGAGGAGCTGGGGCCTCCTCTGTGGCTTCGCTCACAGAGCCTGTGCCGGGCCCGTTGGGTGCTAACCGCAGAGCTTAATCTGCTGCCCAGGACCACATCTTGCTGATGGAGAAGAGCTGCTGGGCTGCAGGGCTGAGAGGCGGCGGGCCAGCAAAGTGGTTCCTGTGGACACAGTCTGCATTTATGCTGCCTGCAGGAGAGAAGTTCAGATGCACTGAAGTGCCGAGGTGGCACGTGCCACCCCAGAGACCTCAGGTCTCCAGGGTGGGCTATCCCAGGGCTGGTTGGCACCGCTCACTTGGGCCCATGCCCAGCTGTGAAGGAAGGCACAGGGGGCTTGTGCAGCTCGTGGGGCTCCTTGAATGACATGTACATTTGAAGTGCAAAGACAGGGAGTGTCAATAAAGATGAAAAACCACTTCAGGTTACTCCAGTCTGGTGCCTTATGGACTGAGAGTTGTTGCTAAAAAGCAAACTGCAGAAAGGTAATTTTTTTATGCTTGTAGACAGCTTGAATAAATCTCAGCCATATCACTGTTACCCCTCACTATCCAAGCTATACACTTGGGGGTTGATTTTTGCTTGTAAAGACAAACCAGATGTGCTTAGAGGTCAAGGCCCCCCTGTGATCTCTGCAGCTAAAGAGGGGCTCCTCTAGGGGATGCTTAAAATTCACATCTAATCAGCAGCTGGCCGACCCAATGAGATCGCTCACTGCACGCCTCAGCTCACAGCAGATGCGGCTTTACAGACTTGCGGGTTCCCCGGCAACAACAGGCCCAACATAAAACTGATCACACACTGAAAGCTGAGATCATCGGAGAAAAGCAGGCATCTTCCCATGGAGAGCACATTCTGTTCCAGGGAAGCCCAGGCACATTGCTCCTTTATCTGCAGCCACAGAAACCCCTAGGACACAAGACTCTTAGCTTTAGGTGGTCTCTGCTCATCAGGCTGGTAAAATCTTTTGGCCAATCAAGTGCCCCTGGGAGAGGCAAGTCGCCTAGAGTCCCAGGGAAAGTTGTAGATCATAGAAACAAGTTTCCTGGGCCTGAAATCAAGCCACTGGATACTCTTTTTTTTAATTTATTTTTTTAATGTTGTTTATTGTATATTTTTGAGCGAGACAGAGCATGAGTGGGGGAAGGGCAGAGAGGGAGACAGAATCCAAAGCAGGCTCCAGGCTCTGAGCTGTCAGCAGAGCCTGATGCGGGGCTCAAACTCATGAACTGTGAGATCATGAGCTGAGCCAAAGTCAGACGCTTACCAGATTCAGCCACCCAGGATACTCTCATATGCTGTAAAAATTATGTGAGTTTCTAGGCCTGCTTTCAAATGAGATGATAGGGTGGCCTCTGGACACTTCAGAAAGGAGCCTTCTTCCTCATCCCCTTCCCCCAGGTAAGCAGAAGTGACCCAAGAATTTCAGGTTTGTGGTTTTAGGACTTTAAAATCTGGATCTCTCTATCCAGGAGTTGGGGGGAGGGGCACTCTCCTTCCCTGTTTCTACAGCTGGGGAATTGGCTAATGGTGGCTGTATCACCGGCCGACCTAGACATGACTCATGGAAAAAAACCCAATGCAGTGGAGCATTTCAGGAAAACCCAGCTGGCACGTGCACATACTTTAGCCCTCTCTCCCTCACACCTCCCTGTAAAGACCTTAGTGCCAAAGGGGACAAATGCTCAGCAGCTGGAAAGACAGGCCAGACAGAAGGGAGATAGGGACCATTCTTTCTACTCCATAGATGGTTGTCTAGAGCACCAAAAACTTGGTCGTCTTCTCTCAGTGCAGACTGACTCATTTACCAAAAAAGGTACATTTCAGCACTCTGTATCCAAGATAGGCAAGATAAATGAAATCTAATGACAGCAGGTCCTGCATTTAGTTCAAGATAAAATAAATGAAAACTCAGAAGTTTCTTCTCAGAACACAGCATCTTTCAAAAAGGAAAAGGCCGTCCTCTGTACTGAGGGAAACCGCAAGGCTGGCCAAGCTCAGGACCCTGGGAGCTCTGGAGCAGTCCCTTCCAGGAGCTGACAGGCTTTAAGCTAGGAACCATGCCCAGGATGCAATCAGGTACCAGAAAATGACTTCTCAAAGGTGCTGTTGCCGAGGAAAAGGTCAGGGCACTTAAACAGAGACAGGACTGGGACCCCCCCCCCCCCAACATTAACAAATGGCCTCATTTAAATGATTAACCACAAATAAAGAGTGCAAATCAACACCCACTGCATTTGAAATTATTTCCATGGTAGCGCATTGATTCAGCTTTCTCAGTGACCCGATCATCTTTCGAGTGGTCTCACGAGTGATCTGCGGTTTGAAAGAAGGGTTTGCAATCAGGGAGACAGACCCAATCCACGCTTGCAGATCTAAAACATGGCATCGTACATATCCATGTCCACTTTCTAAACAAGTTCCTTTCCCCCCCTACACTGTCCTATCCTCAAGGGAGGGAAAAAGGCTGCACTCTTCAGGGCTGCAGGAAGAAGCCCATGCTTCTCTGCTCCCAGGCACTAGAAGCCGGTTCCTTACAGTCACTCTCCCTCTGAGCGCTTCCTTTCTATTCCCTAAGTACATCCCCAAGACCCTCTGTCCCCTCACCCTGCCCTGCCCTCCTGTCAAGGTGAAGAAGCATGAAATGAATAGCTTTGCCATACTGGAAGGCAGGCTCTCAAGGAGGGCTTTGGGATTCGTATCCAGCGTATGCTGCACCTGGTAGGGCCAGCAATCTGAGGGGATAAAAAGATATTTAAATAGTATGTGGATGTGGTTTTTGATCCAAGATCACTTGGACTCTCCTAGGCTGATGAAAACATCAGGAGTGCTAAGTGGTACTCACCTTGAGGGAGGGTCTAGTGAAAGGTGGGGTGGCGAAGGCTCGGAGCAGGTCTCCCAGGGGACCCTTGAAGGGCTGAGGGGGCAGCAGTCTAGAGGATGCCAGTGCGGACACACCAGGAATTACATATGTATGAATGAATCATTCTCTGGCAGAACGTACAAAGCCAGAGAGGTTGGTTCCTGTGGGTGTAGCCGCACTTCTGGAGTCAGGTTTTATAAAAATAAGCACCAAAAAGAAGTCCTTTCTGTAGACAAATTTAAGTGTCAGCAAAGATCAAAATGCTAATTTATGGAAATTATCAATTTCTGGCAAGAGTACAGAGAATACGGTTTAAATGTCCTCTGAAGGAAGGAGTCCAATGCACTCAGTTTACGTTTGTTTATTGTTGTAACATTTTGTTTTGAACATCAAACACTGCACCAAAATATGAGCCATTTATCTTAGGATAACTGTCTTTGCCGTGACTGAGTACTGTACTGATGTTTACAAGTAATTTCTGACAACTCAAAAATTGTTAGTGGCATTGCTAATAATCAAATACTTCATCACAGACTGAATGTAATTATTAAATTAAAACAACAAAGTTACCCCTCCCTTTCTTACCTTCAAAACAAACCAAAAAAACTAGTTTTCACCTGGAAAGAGCACTTACTTTAAACAAAAACTCCATTTTTAACCGGTTTCATTAAACACAGCATGTTCTAAAGCAGAGGAAAACAAGGCTTCCCACAGTAACTTAAAAAGATGATAAAATTTCCTGGAAGAGTTTGTTTTCACCAACTAGCATTTACTAGAAAGCATTTACTTTCTACCTGTTTTTAAAAGGTCTTGCTCACACCTTCAACAATGAAGTCCGAAAGGGCCACACGCAGTCGCTACAGGGCACAGGCACTTTCCAGTCACGTAGCTGTTGTTCCTGGCTGTTCTCCCAGTGATTATCAGCAGCTTTCATTTTAGGACATCACACTAGGAAGTTTTTTCTTTTTCTAGTTGGAAACTATGCAGATGGTTTTAAAGCACAGCAAACACAGTCCTCACACAGGGGGGCTAAGTGTGCAAGCTCCGGGCCTGCACGTGCACTTCCTAATTCCTGCCAGAGACGCAGATGTCGACAACACAACCAGACAAGCTTCTTCAGCACATGGGCATCAAGACAAACACTCAAGTCAGGGTGAACTGGAGAGAGGGAGACGGGCCAAGGCCGTTTCACCAGGGGAGCCTAGAGAACGACTTAGAAAAGCCCGATCAGCTTGCAATCACCCCTGATACCACCCACCACCGAAAGCAGCGCGAGGCTAACGCTTCATTAACTCACCATCGTAAGGGTCTGTGTACAAACACACTCAAGGGTAACGCTCTTTCACAGAAAGAACAAATGTCATTTGTACCAAATGGCAATGGGTTTCAGCACAAACTTAATACTTTCAGAACACTATAGTGATAGTAATCATCTACTTTCAGCAAGAGGGACTCCTTTTAAATAAGGAAAAAGACTCACGTTAATTAGCAAACGTACCCACTGGATCGATCAATCTGCAGCAACAAAATGACAAAGTCTAGTGCTTATGGACACCGGGGACAGAGGGGTCTGCCACCCTCAGCACACGGCTGGGAGACCCGGGTTCCTGGCCTGGACCTTGACAAAGCCTGTGTGTCCAGAGGGAAGAGCTTATCAAGGGAAAAAACTGTCTAATCAAAAACTCTTTAAAGGACAACCTGAAAAGCACTACAGAAGGTATAGAAGATTTTCCGTACCGTGCATGTGCAGAGAAGCCCTACTAAAGCTCATGTTCTCCCTCTAAAGCCAACATGGGGGGGACACGCTGTGGCGTCTATGAGATCAATAGTGGCACGCTGCTCTGCCAGGATTTTGATTCGCTAACTGGGCAGAATTTCATATAAACATAACCTAGTTTGCCTAACCTGTACATAA